TCACTTGGCATTCATCGGGCACCTCGTGACGATACGTTCCATTTTATGGTAGATATATCAGCAATCAGAAAGATAACAAAGAGGATTCTATCCGAAGTATCGAGGCTATTCGATCTAATTGGGTGGATTGCCCTGGTAACCATAAAGGCGAAGCTTCTAATACAAGATCTATGGCTACAAAAGTTAGGTTGGGATGATGAGCTATCGGAAAATATTCAGTTGAAGTGGAAGACGTTCCAAGAAGAATTGAAGAACGTAGACAAAATCGTGAAACCACGATGGACTAACCAAATTCCTAGGAGCCACTTTGAACTACATGGATTCTGTGATGCATATGGCGCAGTGGTATATATCAAAATACTGGCAACTAATACAGAAGATGTTAAAATGACGTTATTAACTGCCAAATCAAAAGATACGCTCTCCCAAGACTAGAGCTATGTTCAGCACTGCTACTAGCCAAACTATTGAGAAAAACAGTCGAGATTCTATCCTCTGATAAAACGAATATTCATGCATGCACAGACTCCATGATTGCCTTAGCCAGGATAAAAGGCAGTACAAAAAAATGGGAAACCTTTGTAGCTAACAGAGTAGCTCAAATCAATGATCTTATAGCAGAAGACTGCTGGAGGCATCCAGATCTGAACATAACCCAGCAGATATCGTCTCAAGAGGGATGGAACCGTCTAAACTAATAAGTCAAATGATGTGGTGGGAAGGTCCACCATGGCTAAAGTCAAAAATGACCGAGCAGGCAGAAAGCGAAACCAAAATCGATCCAATACCTGAAGAAATCAACGCATGCCACATAGTTTCCAACAGATGTCGAACAGATGACGAACTAATTAGAAGATTCTCCACACTAAATAAACTAATAAGCGTAATTTCGTTTTGCAAGCGTTTTATTCAATATTGCAAAACGAAAGTGAAGAAAACCGAACGTCTATCGATAAAGGAAAAGGAATTGCAAGATGCACTAGAAGCTATTGTCAAAATCGAACAGCAAATATATTTCCCCAATGAAATCCAACCACTACAAGAAAAGTCAGCTTCAATTAAAAACAGCAAACTCTTAAACTTGAATCCATTCCTAGACGGTAAATGAATTTTGCGTGTCGGGGGAAGACTTGAGAAATCGCAGTTGCCATATAAGATCCCATAATTTTATCTTATAACTGTCCGCTTACTAAATTAATCATTCTACAGTTTTGGATCATTAATGGGAAGCGAGCAGTAAAAACTATGATTGGTAGATGTGTAAAATGCACCCGTTTTAGAGCTCAAACAGCGGAACAACTAATGGGAAATCTTTCAGCAGCCAGAGTCTCTCCATCATACCCATTTTTTCATACAGGGATAGACTACGCCGGTCCAGTACAAATTAAAACAACCGAAGGAAGAGGCCACAAATCATACAAATGGTATGCGGCAATATTCGTGTGCCTCACCACTAAAGCTATACATATTGAAGTTGTGAGCGATATGTCAGCAGACACATTCCTAGCCGCGTTCAGACGTTTCACCGCAAGAAGAGGCTGCTGCGTGTACATATATAGCGATAATGATACAAACTTTGTCGAAGCAAGCAAAAGAAGTTATGCAGATAGTCAAAATATCCAATATTGAAGATAAGCTAGTCTCTATCGGAACCCATTAGCATTTCATTCAACCAGCAGCTCCCCATTTTGGAGGACTCTGGGAAGCAGGGCTAAAATCAATGAAATACTACCCAGGAGAGTGATCGGGGCAACTTGCCTCACTTATGACGAGTAATCCACACTCATGCACCAGATAGAAGCTTGCTTTGATTCCCGACCCCTGTGTCCACTAAACGATGATCCCACTGATATAACACCTCTGATGCCAGGGCACTTTTTGGTGAAAAGGGCACTTGTGGAACCACCAGACCCAGTTAGTACAGCCATCAATTCTAATCTAACTGAAAGATGGAAATTAGTACAAAAAATTAAGATGGATATATGGAAAAAATGGTAGTCAGATTACTTGCACTAACTTCAACAACGATACAAATGCAAAAACATTAGAAAATCGCTTCAAATCGGAGAGCTAGTCTTGATAAAAAATGAGGATATCAACCTTAGCGAATGGCCTCTGGCAAAAATAATCAAAACACAGCCCTCAGAAGATAACACAGGAGTAGTAACCATTAAGAAGGCTGACGGAAGTTGAATGAAGCCACCAGTTCATAAACTCATTCCAATATACACAGAACAAGAGAGGATGCGAGGCATTTCAAATTGTAGGAGTGTAAAGGAAGGTAGACTTCATGGCTATATTATTTCTCGTAACATTGAGAAGCTCTACAGCAGAGAAATACACTTTCCACCTCCAGGAATATATACCGATCATATAGGACATACCAAAATTGACAGGGGAATATTAAGACTCGAACTGAAATTTGATAAAAATAAATTAGCCGATGATACTTGAACTATAGGTGATTCTTTTAAACAGGTTCAAGTTCTTTGTGATAATGCAAGGGAATCAGCGTCAAACACACAATGTTTATCGCTAATTGACCACTTAGAGGAAAAGCAAGGCAAATGGAATCAATGGACCAAGGAATGAAAATTATAAGTGCAAATAGACGCAAGCGAGGATTAGTGGGAAAAATACTCACATCCTGATTTGGGGTTAATGATGAAGTTTACCAAGACATTGAACAATTAGAAACAAATCAGCAAAAACTTATTCAGGCATCAAATCATCTAAATTCATCTTATATGCGTTGGAGGAATTCAATGAAACAGAAACTTGTATCAATGGACACCTCAGAAGATACCAAGAAAGAATGAATGAAGCGATTAAGGTCATTGAAGAGATGCAGCACTGGTACAAAACCGTAGATACCAACTTGTTGAATATTTATCTCCTAAGCACATATAGGATAGTATTAAATTACATAGACGACGTCCTAAATCATCACCAACGTGTGCTGGAACTACATTATCACCGAACTCATTTATTTGAATTAGTATCCCCCATCCAGATTGAAAACGCAATATTAGATATATCGAAGAAATTACCTTCAAACATACAAATTCTATCCTTCCCACTACTAAAAACAACAATTCATCACACTAACAACTCCATACATGTTTTTGGATATTTTCAGTCCACATTGTGTTATAGATGAAATTTACCAACGCACAGAAAACACAACATGTCCTATCCACGAGATCTCCTTGCAACCAATTACATGGAAACAATTGACGTGTCTCGCAGAAATAGAAAAAGAGAGCTTAATTGTAATAAATACAAGTTAGAAAGTAATAACAAATGACATGCGCGCGCAACTCGTGGCTGCAGTGTAGCCAGATTGTATTGTTGCAGAACAAATGTAGATAATACGAATCGAACATTATAACATTAAAGAAGTGATATAGTGTCAAGTGATTTACAACGCCGTAAATCAGACAAAAGAGGAGCTTTAAAGTGGATGTACATCGTTTGCACTTTTATTTTGGGAAATGTTTCATCCGGCAACATCGCACAATAAAATTGCAAAGGAATATGTCAAGTATAATCTAACATAACCTTAAACGACACTGGGATAAGTTCCAGTAATACGTAAAGTATTAGTTTGCTCTTTGTCGAATTACACGTTACAAAGAAAGAAGGAACGATTAATTCTGAACTCGTCTCTGAATACGATTATGACGCAAGCCCGTAACTAACTCGATTTTCATTGGACGCTCACCTGCAACCCACGAATTGCGCGCGCACACCAGGTATTACGAGACACGTCAATTAAGTACGCTTGGTTGTTTGTGACACCTACAAAGGTAAAAATGGCTATAATTTGCGATGGTGTCCGAGAAGAGATAATAGTTAACTATACAGGAATAATAGAAATTTCACAAAGCTGCACATAACTAATAAGAATATATTATTCCTGAAAAAACTAGAGCTGGCAAGAGTACTCAACAATAACTTTTACCCAGCCCGAATAGGCACCATTGATACACTTAGCATTACAAGCTACAGACCTCAAGACAAGCAAGAAGAACCTGTAATTATTGCATCCGACAGTATAGAAGAATTGAAGAAAGAAGAAGAACAAATCAATGAACAGCTAGAAGACGAAAAATGGGCAAATTTTCGGCATGACACGTTAATTGGCAGCACAACAGCGTTTTCTATAACAGTAGCTCTTGCTGCATGTCTGATTTATTTTTTATGCCGACGCTACTAAAATAATAACCACCCTCAAAGACCTCAACATAGGAATTCCATGAATAATGGCATTCCATTACAACCGCTGCATCTGTACCATGATCAGTCAATGAGAACAGCACAGGAAGACCATTAAAACGCCCGGGGCAGAATGTAATAAATGAATATAGGGTTTTTGTATTGATTCGTTTAATATAAATAGCTGTAATTATTTCATTACAATCAGTATCTAACAAACCATTGTTGTACTCACTACAAACTCAATTACCCCTTGCGCTATCACTTCATGTCTGAATAGAGTCATCAGCGCTCATCAAGACCTTTCTTATTGAAAAGGTATATCATAGGATTGAGGAATATTTCGATGATGACCTGAACATCATTTAATGCCCTGGTGGTGCTGCGGAAGGTATGGTATGGTATGTGTCTTGATAGTCTTAATATTTTTTTGTATTTTTTTTTATTGTTCTTTTTTTGTGTTTATATCACTGTTTATTACCTATAATACTTTTCTTTGTTCTGCTTGCCTGCTTCGTCTACAATTTTTTTATTTATTTTTTTTGAAAATAAAGCATGTTCAATTTGATTTGATTTGAGTAACTTATCTAATGACATAGCGCCGAATAGATTTTTTTTTTTAACTTAAAAAGGTAGGGGGAGATTTATCACTTTCAATCACCTAGTTGATGAAATAATCAAGTATTTATTTCAGTAGTGATAATGAAACCATCAAATACCTGGAATATTTTGCGTTTTATTTTATAAGTAAGTGAAAAAAATTAAAAAATAACTATTCTTACCTGTAAGCTGGTGAATTGGGAGAAATTCTGGTGACAAGAATATCAGCTGATCGATTTTCAGTATGGTCTCCTACAGAAACTGTTAACCCGTATCCTATACCTCTATCAGCAGTCAAAGTGACTGTTAAAGTTTCTGGATGTGAGACTCCACCAGATCCTGAACATCCACAATACGTACTACCTGAAAAGTAAAAAAAAAAAGATAACAAAAAACTATCTAGATGCAAGTCTGGTTAAAAAAACCTCTCTTTTACTGGCCTGACGCAGCAAATTTACTTTGTCGAAGCGCGATAAAAGCTTTTCCTAATTAAAAATAGGTAAGCCGCCTGTTAGGTTTCCTTTGTTTTGAAAACAAATAAATATGGATTCGTTCTCGCTACTATATATCCTATGTGGCATGTTTTTTTTTTATTGTGAGACAGATTTTTTCGAGTTCCTTTTCTCGTTTCCGTCCACGGATTTATTGGAAAGGAAAGAGTTTTTTGCTAATTACAATTGAAAGCTTTGGTAGTACGTAATAAAGAAACAATAAACGGTATGTCAGTAATAATTAGACATCAATATTTACTGCTCTCTTATCGCTCGTTCCATTTGAAATAAAATACCGTATTGGCGGACATTAATACCTACATCATTAACGCTTAAACGTTCAGTAAATTTTAGCTGCATTTTAATTGATATGATAAAATCGCCTGAACTAGAATTTCCAGGAAAGATATATATAGCACTATTAACAGTGATTTCGCTAGTGTCCAAAAAGCCTATTTATGCATAGGCGTTTACCGCGTCAAACTGAGGAATTATGTATGGACGAGGCAATAATGAGATGTAAATTGAAACATCAAAGAGTCGAGCTATTTACGGTTTAATAGGAAAGAGGTGAGATGAGGACGCTATAATATTGTCTGGCGGGTTTGTAATTTTAATTTTACTGATTTGAAGTCCATATGTATACCTTGAACGTTCCTTTGACATAAATATTGTCATTATGTCCAATATTTCTATTCTAAGGTTAAGTGTAATATTTTTCTCTATACTTACTAACCCTAAAGAGGCCGAATATCTCAAGAAATATAATTAAAAATCTTGTTTTACACTTTACAAAAACAAGATATTCCTAAAAAAATATTATCACGCTTTTATAAACAGAGAAGAGTTTCAGAGGTGAGGATATTTTTCCACAATTCTATTATTTTTACTTGCACCATTGGCAAAGTTCGACACTCAACAGAAATAAACTTCCTACTTTGCTTATACTGTAGCGGTTGTGTAACGCCAGGATGCACAGAATATAATACCTGAATTCTAGAACGTACTGTGGGTTTCAGGTGAAAAGACTATTGCGTTCTTTTAGATTTTACAGGAATGAATGACGGGTATATAAAGGCCAAGATTAGTTGGTAGTTTTTAGTTTAAGATCGGCTGTTATACGTTTTAGATAATGAATATTGTAAGAGTTAGGTTGAGTGAGTTAATTAGTGAAGTAATTAGTGTCAGAGTGTTAAAGTAACGTTGAATAAATTATTGTTCTGTTAATTGGGATTTTGAGTTTTGAATAAACGGACCCAAGATTTATGTCATGCACGCCAGAGCAGTGATATTGATATCAGAAGTGGGATATAATTCGAGTACTGCAGAGTGAAATCCGATTGCAGAGTAGTGTGGACACTAAGTGAACACTGGGACAATTGATCAGTGTAAGAAGTGACGATTACAAAAAGAGACTTGACCGATTGTGTAAATTACCCCGGAAGTGACTGTTTACCCGGTTTTGACTGTGATAGTGAATTTTTAAGTAAGTTATTTTTTTAAAAATTTATTTATTTATTTAGAACCAATATTAATAAAATTACAACAATAAAGTTATTAACTTAATTAATTAATTAATCTATCAGGTATTCTGCTATTTTCTATACTTACAAGTTATGCCCAAGGCACCTAGGTGTTTGAAACCCCTGTGTGTGCCTTCTATGTCACTATGTGAAGAAAAACGAAAGCTCTTTATAATTTACTAATTAAGTCAAGAAGAAAAAAAATAAACAGTTGAGTGATACAGTACACATTAATTTTAGGTATAATTGTCACAAGCATTATTTAGCAAAAAACAGTTGAGAATGATCCAATATTAGAAAAAATATACTCTTTACTTTTCTCAGTGAATTTCTTTCCCTTCTGAATACCTCTTATGCTATTTGGCAACTGATTATAAACTTTAGGCCCGATATAGGAAAAAAAAGTCAGATTGCTATTATTGAAACTACGAGGTATATTTATGTGATGGTTAAGGTTGTTTCGTGGTCTTTCAGATAGTCATTTTTTTGTATATAGCTACTTACTGCAGTCATGTATAGTGTACGTATATTACAGGTCTCCAATGTAAATATTAGATGTGTCGGATATCTCTTATTTTTTCTATATACTATTTTTAAGATATATTTTTGCATGACATTTAGTTTTTCAAGATTAGTTTTGTATAACCCTCCCCAGACCACAATCCCATAGGTAAGCAATGATTCAACTAGTGATTTATATATAATAACTACTACCTTCTTGTTGAGGAATTCCCTTAATAGATAAAATTTATGTATTAATTTTGCAATTTTATTTGAAACATAATCTATATGAGGTTTCCACTTAAGAAATTGGTCGATCACATTGCCAAGATACTTAGTATGTGCAACTTCCTTGATAATTTTTGTATCTATTGCTATTGATGTAAATGGAGGTCTGTTAGCAAGTGTTAAGGAAAAAGCAATATAATTGGTTTTTGTTAAATTTAGTCGGAGTCTGAATGTTTGAAGCCAATTCTTTACCAAAGTTAGACCATTTTGCACCTTGGCTCTAACCTTTTCCCATGTTTTATCTTTAAAAATTAAAACTGCGTCATCTGCATACGATATTGCGTCACCATTTATGTTTACTTTAAAAAGTGAATTTATGTATGCAATAAAGAGAATGGGTCCCAAAACGCTGCCCTGTGGTACACCAATTTGTACTTTAAGCTTATCGCTAAATATGCCATTAAGCTTGACCATTTGATGTCTATCGTGCAAGTAATGTCTCAGGACTTCCGACACAATAGAAAATCCTATTTGAAAACTTAGGGAAATATCGAATTTCTGACTTCACCGACGCATTTGATACATCAATCGTCATTCAGAAAAAGAATTTCGAGGAATTTCGGAAAAATTTTAGAAGATTCTGTTTGGAAACCAAAAGAGATATCGAATTTGTGACTTCACCGAAGTGTTTGCTATATCAGTCGAAATTTAGAAAAGACATTTCAAGAATATTCTAGAACATTATTTTCGAGAATAAAGCTAGTTATCCAATTTGTGACTTCAGAAACAAAGACCAGGAAAGATATTTGGAGAGAGTTTGAGGGAAATTCCAAAATTTCAGAATATTCTGTATATGCCTATTATGATGAGACAACAAGAAAAAATGGAAGAACTAAAAATGGAAGTACTTCTGCGCAAAATTTTGAAACTTTAAGAGACCAAACGGCAAAAAGAAAAACAAGAAGAAGCTAAACGACAATAAAAAAAACTAGAGGAAGAGGCCAAGCGACAAAAAGAAAAACAAGTAGAAGCTAGACGACAACAAGAAGAAACTAGGTGACAACAAGAACGGCAAGAAGACCTTGTACAATTGCAGAAAATATTTGAAATTCGAAGTTTAGGACGATGTTCAAGAAGTAAAAGACGATGTTTAAGAAGTTAAAAACGACGTTCAGGGGGTAAAAGCCGATGTTCAGCAATTAAGAAAAGAAGTTGAAGACCAGGTTCAAGCACTTTGAATAGCTGAATTTGAAGCTGCTGCAAATATCAACGGATGAAACGATCAAGAAAAAGCTACAGCACTGATAGTGGCGCTACGAGGACCTTTCACAAGAATTCGAATCGGATAATAAAAGGATAGTGAGTTTGGCGTATCCTGCAGCTGGGGAAGACATGTAGGAATGGCGTATCTGCATTTATTGATAGTCTCAGAGATGCCAAGATCCAGAAAAACTTGAGAATGTCTAAGTTCAGAAAAAGTAGCCTTGTCCGAGCATTGGAACTGGAAGCTATCTTTGGTGCATCACGACCGAGAATGCGAGCAGTGTCCATCGAAAACCCAAAGGATAAACAATCGTCAAAAGAGGATAGCAGCTTCGAGAAGGTTATGAGTAATCTCATGAAGAAAATGGAGAAACTATCACTAGAAGGCAGACAAACGAGAAACGACTCCGGACAAACATCAACACCGAGAAACCGAGTAGAATGGTACCGATGCCATAAGCTTGGACATATTCAACGCAATTATAGCGTACTGATTTCCTCTCCATCTAGGAATCGTTCCCAACGCTTTTCGTGATATAGACACGCCAGCCCTAATAACAGACAGGGAAACGAGAACTAACCAGTATGGAGGGGCGAATGCTGGTTAGTAATGATGAAGCCCCCAGGGTTGTGTACATAAAATCATTGGGCAGTCACTATAGAGGATTAAAATTTGAAGGACAAATAAATATAGAATTTAAAACCATCACTTTTGATACGGGTGCAGAAGTTTCTATAATTAGAAGAACATTGGTCAAGTCTCGGGCAATCCAACCGCTCACTAGAAACCTGTCACTACGAACAGTCATGGGCGAATCAGCACCAGTTCAAGGAGAAGCTATGGTTGAGCTTACTTTTGGATGGATCTACCACCTTTAGGCACAGAACGTTAGTCGCCTATATAGGTGATGATTTTATTTTGGGAATGGATTTGATTGGGCAACATGGTTTTTCTTTCGATCCTTCTATGAACATCCTCAAATTTGGTAATGAAGAATTTGTCCTGACTACACAAGAAGAATCCAAGCCGTTAAGATCCTAGCCACAAACCCAGTGAGGATTTCTGGAAGTACTAAAATATATTCGAAACAAACCCTGGGTGCTGCGCTCGACTAGCACATCATTTTATTGGAGATAAACCAGAAAAAATCTCGTTGGAAAGACTCTGGTAAAAACAAATGGAGACATTATGATAAGAATTGCCAATGTTTCTTCTGAAAAAGTAATAATAAAGGAAGGAGATATTATTGGAACTCTGAAACCAGTTAAGCAAATATGGAACTGTCGCCTATCAGATAAGCGACATTTCGTAAAGCCGAATTTGGATACCTACAGAAGTCACCTTGATGCAGACTTT